CTATGGGATAGCTATGGAATTGCTACCCACAGTGCAACGGTGCAGAAATCTACGCTAGCCCCGGTACTTGGACGCACACCACCGAAGTAATGTGCTTAGTGTGGCCGCATCCATTTCGACTTTATACAACCTGTTTTTCAAATCCGAATTATCTAAATTCAGATTAATCCCGTAGTGTAGACATACCCACTGATTTGGAGACCACACCAGAAGAAAAAGAAAAACAACAGAACAAGTGCTGCAAGGAAAATCTAAAGAAATTCACTTTTGTGCAACATGATGAATATACCACAAGATAAATTAATAATTGGCCAATAGCTAAAGAAACTGAAGTAGTTTTAGATCATCTGACCTCTTCCAAACATTACTGAGCATGAGATTTTAAAGTATGAGCTTGAATCATTCGTTATGGAGGATGGAAGCGTAAAACTGAACAACAAGAAGTAAAAAGTAGCAAATCATAACAGCAGTTAAAGGCAGACAAAAGAAAAATATAGAGAAATATTAGTTCCACAGTAATGGAAAAAATTAGCAGTGGGCTTCAGCAATGGAGGGAATATAGAAAGATAATACAGGAGAAAAGGAAAACACCACAAAACTACAGAAAGAAGGCAGGAAAACTGAAGAATAAATACTAAATACAGCTTGACAGCAGGATGAAGAGAAAATGGAAGGAATGGTTCTCAGGGAGAAACACAGGAAAATAAAATAAAAGAGTGTCTAAGGGGCACTGTTATCAACTGCCAAGACCAGCTAATTTGTGGCAATGGGAACTGAGAGTTGAAACACCCTACAGCTTTCCAGGTCAGCATGCAATGGCCCAGAGTCACTAGCATCACTGGTAACAGGATTAGGCTCTGAAGAGAACAAACTTGCCAGTGGCAGATTAAAAAAAACAAAATCAGAAAAGGTTGGGAGTAAGGGACTTAAACTTAGTGACACAGCAGAAGGTGAAGCAGTAGAAAATAAGGTGTTTTCCAGAGGGAATTCTTGCAACAGCAGGCAACTGGAAAACAAGAGCAGGTTCCTAAGAGGCAGCTTATTTTTCTAACAGCAATCTATTCTATTAATAAGATCTCAGTGTGTACAGTGGTCAAAGAAGAACAGGTGCTCACAGAAATGCTGGTCCTTTGGAAAGAGAGAGAACTGAGTCAATGGTACTTAGAACAACAACAAAAAAACAAGAGCCCAGAGTAGCTACAGATAGTTATAGTAGCCAGCAGATACAGATGGCAGGGGATTCAGTATTTCTAACTGAAAAACTTCCTCCCCCCTCCCACCTGCAACAGGATACACAACTAAAATGTCATATCTCATTTACTACACAAACACAATGTGGCATCTCAATTTGTGTGTCTGGGAGAAAGTAGGTTTCAAATATAAACTGAGAATTCCCCTGCAGTCTGTGAAATTCTGTGACAGATGCCACATTACACCCATATTTTGTACCAGAAAATTTCAATAGACTTATCTAACACAGATAAAAGATGCTATCATAAAGTTACTCTGGACAATGGAAGACATCCTACTAGTTGTGGATGGACGGGGCTAAAATAAGTCTATATCCTAACGCAGTCAATTGAAGACTACTGGGATTTTAAAAGTTTATCATGTTTATTTATAGTAAGAACAGGCAAAGGAGGCAGCAATTATCAGCAAAGGAGGCAAGACAGTATCCAAGTAGTGTGACCAGGAGTATGACTGAGTATGTAACTTAACGGCAAGTGAGGGTTCTCAGAAGCAGTTTCAATAACTAAGCTTTAAACTCTCGGTCAAAATTTAAGTGACCAGAAGGAAAACACATAAAGAACACAATATTTTTCTTTCAAATAATACTTTTTAAGCAATAGGAAACAGACATGGCTGATGTGCCTTGAACATTGCAACAATGATATCTAGATTTGAGCCCCCTTCCCCATTACACTTTTGATTAAATATTTCTGGAAGTCATGAAATGGAAATAGTGAAATGATTTAATAAATGAAGTCCAAGAATTAAAATCACCCTTATCTATTGGCCTATGAATGATCCCACAATATTTTATTTATAAAACTGTGGGCCACATTTCACTGAAGTCACTAGGAATGTATTTGGCCCCTTAAAACAGAAAAATCAATTTTAGGAACTAGTATACTCTTCAATATTTAACTTGACAGCCAATGTTTGATGCATAATATCATCCTTAGACCCCTCTTAGTAATGCAGTACATTCACTATCTCTTCTCTAATCTTTTCCTCAGGTGAGGAGGTCATACATGAAATTCGGTCCAAGAAGGAGCTTGAGTGTGCCAACCTATTCGTGGAGTCTGCATGTAAAAGTGCAGTAAGTAGCAAAGAAAACACATTTAGGAGGAGCAGTTTGCATTAAAGCCTATGAAAGAGGAAAAGTAGGAGAAGAAACATGCACTACACAAAGCACCATATTCACTGCACAATTTAATCAGTCAGGATGACAGGTACAGCGGCACATAAGGCTGAAAAGCATGGTGGAAGCAAATCCAGGTGTGTTTGTAAAGGTTCAACTTGTAAGGTTCAACACAGTAAATGTTTCTTATAACTTACAATTCAGACTAAAAATTAAGTGACTGCTTGCTTTTGAAAACTGTGCAGGACAAGTGAATCTAGAGTTACCATCCGTCCGTGTTTCCCCGGACATGTCCGGGTTTTTCAGCTTTAAATGGCCGTCCGGGTGGAGATTTCTAATCAAGAAGAAATGTCCGGGATTTCCCCCTTCCCCTCATGCAGAGTGCGGCGCGGCTGATTGGACGCCTGGCCTGATTGAAAGCCGCTTGCAGCCACTGGGGCCTCTAGCAGCCAGAGTCCCTCCCCCTCCCCCACTCCCTCCTTTCCCACAGAGCAGTGCAGCAGTGTTTGAGTCCACGTGGAGCCCGCGGTTCTCCCTCTGCCGGGTGAGTCGGGGGAGCAGGGCAGGCGGCGGGAGGGGGGGGTGTAGAGGCTGCAGGGGCAGGCAGGGGGCGTACAGGCTGCAGGGTGAGTGGGGAGCAGGGGGCACAGAGGCTGCAGGGGCGGGAGGGCGCAGAGGCTGCAGGGTCAGGGCAGGCAGGCGGCGCAGAGGCTGCAGGGCGAGGAGGAGCAGGGCAGGCAGGGGGCACAGAGGCTGCAGGGCGAGTGGGGAGCAGGGGGCACAGGGGGAGCAGGTGCGGGAGGGCGCCGAGGCTGCAGGGGCAGGGCAGGCAGGGGGCGCAGAGGCTGCAGAGCGAGGAGGAGCAGGGCAGGCAGGGGCATAGAGGCTGCAGGGCGAGTGGGGAGCAGGGAAGCACTTAGCAACCCCCAACCAAGATCAGAGCGGTAGAGATGAGGGGGAATGCGGGGTGCTCAGAGGAGGGGGCAGAGTTGGGGCAGGGACTTTGGGGAAGGGATTGGAATGGGGGCGGGGAAGGGGCCCCGTGGAGTGTCCTCTTTTTTAAATGTTTGAATATGGTAACCCTAGTGAATCTGCATATGAACCTGTGTAAGCACAAAGCTTCATAATAAAGTCATGAAGCAATCGGGAGGCATATGATGCATTTGTGAGAGGAAGACGTGAGTGAAGAGGGGAAAATTTAAATCAGTTTCACTACTAAATCAGGCAGATAGTTTAATGGAATCTAGAACCATATTGCAGAATATTTGTAATCAACAGGAAGGATTTCCCATATGCAAATTAGGCAGGCATTTTAGATAAACACTGCCAGGAGACAGAGCAGGTTGAGAGGGAAACTATATACCTGTTATAAAGGAAATACCACCAGAAAATTCAGTTTTATCAATATATTCTTTGGAAATTATGCTCTGTTTAAAACTGTATAAAATTATTTTCTAAAAATCTTTAAGAAAACTGTTAAAATAAGAAGTTTTTAGAGGGTTGGTTTTTTTTTGTTTTGTTTTGTTTTTTTTTAAAAAAAGAGGCTGTATGTGTCCATGATTCTACCCTAAATGTGGAACCTAACCAGATTTAATTAAGGCTACTTAAACCTTTACAACCTACTTAAAATCAAACTGCTGCAAACGCTGAAGGTTCAACAAAATGCTCACCCACCAAACTGAAACACAGATTTTAGTGGCATAATTTAAAAATGTTGCTTAATATGCCAACAAAGCACTACACTGTGAAAATACAGAAAGCCAGACATCTTTAAGAGAATTTCAAAATTCATCTGACAGACTACTAGCTAACTACAAGACTGTTTTAATTTTATTACCTTTACTTCCTCAGTAAAAAATAAAATTACTCTAAAAATCCAAAATACACTTATCTGTGAATCCAAAACGGCATGGTCACCATTAACTATCTAAAAAAACTTTAAGTGCTCTTTTCTTTACATAGCGAGTTCAGTATTAATACAAGCATCTAATTTCAAGCACTGCTGTGAAAATAAACCCTCCCACTTTTATATGTCGACTGTACATCTTTGTCTGTGTAACCTGCTGCTCTACAGCTGCATATCTCTGAGGTAGTTTTCAGAAGTGCCTGCTTCATTATGCACCTTTTGCCAAAGTAAGTACTTATGATCCCCATTAAGTGGCACCTAAATTTCTGAAGCTTGAGACACAGTGATTTCATCAGACCTTCACTCCTGCTAAAATATCTACCAATATAAGGGGGATGTGATTTGCACCAACTATTTGTAGCAGCTGAAAGACAGCTTCACATGTTTCAATATAAAGGTGAAAACATCTTATTTCTTCTGCTGAGCACTACTAATTTCCAACTCCCCTAGCTACCTCTAGTTCAATAGCAAAGCTTGAGAGAAAGGAAACTCAGGGATGTATCCCACCATCAGCTTCTCTCCAGAAATAACTAAATGTTCACAAATGTGATTAAGAAGACAGCTGCCAGTTGAGAGTTTAAAAGATATACTCCTTATCAGGAGAGGACAACAGCAATCTCTTTCAAAACACCCAAGATATCATTCCATTTGGAAGTCTTGTTTGCTGACATAAGAGAACTAAGTGCTCTCACTGTTTCAGATGTTACTAAGGTGTTAAAAGTTACTTACGGTTTCCCCCCAGGGATTCCTGCTAGATTTGGAGGGATTCCAGGTACTCTCATGTGAGGAGGAGGATCAAATCCAACCTGATAGTGAAAAATGAATAAATCTCAAGCCTGTTGAATGAGAAAACAACTCCCCTTCCTTCACCCCAAACTCATTTTATGTATTAAAAAAATGGTGTAGAGCATTTTAGAAATGCAAATGTTTCTTATTGGAATGCATTAAAGGGACGTTCTTAAGAGATTTATTTTCATGTTTTCCAGTGTTCACATTCAAAAACTGAACCAATAGATGTACATGATCGTAACAGCTTAAATATGACAGTAATTATATGCTTAATACATTATGTGCTACTTTAGGATTTCCTAGCATTTTAAATCTTATTATATTAATTCATCTAGCATAAATACATACTTCAAGCAATCCCTACAACAAATATGGACCAAAGTACATTCAAGTTCATCCTTTGAAATGGTATCCATAACTTGAAACCATAATGCATGTAGTTTTAAAGACATGTATATGCCATTTACAATTTCCATCCTTCCTGCTCAAGAAAACTGTTTTCCAGTTAAAAAGATTAGCCTCATTCTAGAATTTAGAGAATACAGAACCAGGCTTCACATATTCTGCAAATACTCTCGCACATAACTTTACTTAGGCTTGGTCTACACTAACCCCCCAAAATCGAACTAAGGTACGCAACTTCAGCTTCGTGAATAATGTAGCTGAAGTTCGAAGTACCTTAGTTCGATCTTACCTCGGTCCACACGCGGCAGGCAGGCTTCCCCGTCGACTCCGCGGTACTCCTCTCGTCTAGCTGGAGTACCGCAGTCGACGGCGAGCACTTCCGGGTTCGACTTATCGCGTCCAGACAAGACGCGATAAGTCGAACCCAGAAGTTCGATTGCCAGCCGCCGAACTAGCGGCTGTGTATAGACGTACCCTTAGAAATAATCCCAATTAATTCACTGGGACTACTTGTGTGCTTAAAGTTACACATATGCTTAAATGTTTGCAAAACTGGGCCCCTGCTTAGTTTTACGTTATGGTAGTGGTGACTAAAGAGCACCTTATTTGCACTGTTGCTAGGCATAAGGAATTTTCTAACTTTCCAGGCCACAGAGCAATAAAAAAAAGGACATCAACCAACTTCAAATTTTTATTTTCATAAAAAATAAAAACTACAAGCACAGAAAAGTGGATAAAAAGCCTTCTATGTGCTGCAAGATTAATTTAGGATGTCTATAAAATGTACAAATCTGCTCCAGTAGGAGAAAAACAGATGTCCAGAGAACCAATGAAGTGCTTTGTAGCTTCCAACACTACCTTTTTATTCACAAAAAATAAATAAATAGTTTGGCATTTCTTAATGAACCAAAGCACTAATGAAGGCAAACAAAAACTGAAACATACATAAATACACTGAGATTCTTTGTTTTCAAGGAACAAGATTGTTTCTGTAGCCATAGAGCAAAGTGAAACATACAGTGAAGTAGTCAAACCTCTGGCGTTGTGATGGCTTGGAAGTTAGACAATGTTAAATGATGCATATAGCCTTTCCCAGTGAACCAAAACTCATCCTATTGAGATGGCAAGCAATGTGTTTCCTACCATAGGAGATCGTCCATAGGCAACCACGGCGGCTGCAGCTGCAGCAGCACTCATCTGCGGGGACATATTGTGCAGACTGGCATAAGCTGCCCCTGGACTGGTCAACTCTCCATTCATGCCAGCATGAGGTACCATTCCAAATGGAGTAGGGTATGGTCCTGATACTGCCAAGGGTGTCCTCAAACCAGCAGCTGCAGTTTAATGAAATAACGCGCTCATTTTGAATTCAATTAATTTTCTATTTCTCTGCACACAGGGAAGAAAACACTGTCATTCCAGATGGATACTTCTTTTGCAACACCCAGTCTTTCCCTCTGTCCACAGTCCCTTTTAATGTTGCTAGGTACATTCTGAACTAAGTTCATCACCACCACACATCCTGGCTCTGTGTAAATGAGAGCTCATATATGCCTAGCTATTCTGATTACTTTTAATAATCCCTTCACATACTGCCCATTCCTTCCTTCATATTTTCCTTCTCTCCACTGTTCATGTTATTTGGTCTCTCTCTATTTACTGCAATAAGGCTGAGAGGTATAGTTTAGAAAAGTGATGTCTGAAGACTGAATAGCAAAGCAAAGCATTGCTCTGAATTTGTCATGATTTACATTTCAGTAAATATGAGCTGCTTCAAATACAGGATAATGGCTAGGAAGGAGCTTGCATTCAGAATAATTATCAGAAACTTTAAAGAAGTCATTACATAGTTTAGATTATTTGGAAAGAAGATAAATGTAAACAGTCAGTCTGAAAGAGGTACAAGCTGCTGAAAACTAAGTTTGAACATCTGTTTCTTATCAAACCTCTTCAATATAAAGAATGAAGCAATACATTTATTTAGTATTCACAAATTACATAAATAAAAGATTAATGAAAGACTTAGAAAAGCACATGAAAAGCAATGCATTACCAGCTTGGTTAACTAGAGGGTCCATTGTTGGAGGTTTGCCAAGGCCTGGACGAAGTCCTGGAGTAGCACTAGTGCCCGGAGTTGGCACATCACTTCGAGGAGTCGGTGTGCTGGATTTCAGAACAGGCGTGCTGGCTTTTTCATGCTGGTATCATTAAACAAATTAAATGAGTATTATTTTTAATCCAGGCCATATTACACAATTTATCACAACAGCAGCTGGGACACTGGGCACCTACTACCTACTCCCTCAGCCAATTTTCATAAATCCACACAATGTTGATAGCATTAACTTGTGAGCGAGAAATGTTGACCTTTCCTATTCCTGCCAAAATCAAACAAGCAAAAAATGCAGAAGGTCATTTTTTCCTTCCTCCACAGGCATTAAAATGTCTGAGATAATTTTAATTCAGGACAATATTCTAAGTATCACCAAATTCTTTCAGTCTAAAATTGGCATCTCAAATATTACAGATAAAATTTGTCTAATGTCCCCAATTAAAGTCCAAAAAAAGAGTGATGCCTAATTGATAATACCCTAAAATAAAACAATTTAACAAAATGTGCCAGTATAACAGCCAAAGATCTTATGATCAAATAATTTAATGACATTTTACCAAAAGAGAGAATAAAACAGCCTATTTAGAAGAAGGCAATCGTGATTCTGTAGGACTTTTAAAAGATCTGTGTGTATGTGTATGTTTTGTCTGCAGTGAAGAATAAGCGTAAGCTATTTTCAACTTCAAAAAGAAAACACTGTTTAAAGTGAACCGTTTGCATTATACGGTAAACTTGGAAACCATTAGTTATAAGTGCATAGGAAAGATCAGTGTGAAGTAGAAGTTTTTATCAGGAAAGAAGAGGGTTGTATAGTATTATAAAGGTCTAGGGGAACAAGAACATGCTTCAACTTCAAGTGTATAAAATCAGACATCCGCTGCCAACAAGCAAGCCCCTATGCACAGTAATTAGTAGTTAGACCATACATGTGAGAAATAGATAGGTATTTCCTCTGGGCTACAGACTGCTTTTAATACTCACCAAACTCATTTCTTTGGATTTCAAGGAAGTGGAACTTCCTGAGGAGGCTGTGGATGCTGGACTGCTAGAGGCATCTTTTTTCAGCAGGCGGTTTTTATCTATGCCATTCTCACGTGGTGAGTGTGCCGGACTTGCCCGTGGCGATGAAGGATCCTAAAATAATAATACTACTAATAAAACAAAAAACAAATACAAATGGGGGGAATGGACAGCAGAAAACTACTTTATGGCCATGGGCTTGTACAAAGCACTGCCACGGAATTATCACCATGGAAAAACTGGAAGGTTTTAAAGAGATCAGTTTAAATACATAATTTTTTTTTAAATACTAGTTTTTGTTTGTTTCTCTGTGACAATGTCTCCTCATCATCTGGTCAGTGGGGGCAGTTAGCCCACTGATTAAAACAAACCCAGTTAGTTTTGCATGTGAGTTTTAAATAATAACATGGTAATTTTTTCTTAAATATATAAAGAGGAGATTACAATCTACGATAACCCACTTTGCTTAACCCCACCCTCAAAGAAAATGACCCTGAGCTCCTGGCCCATAGAGTATGTATTATCTATTGTTTTCTTTCCTCTATACAGACCGTCCATATTACCCCTCTATGTAGCAAACCTTCCCCCCACTCCTCCTCTCGCCCCCTGTTCCCACCCCCGCCAAGTGCCTGCCCTGGGCAGAGGTTGCAAAGCCACCAGGACTCCAGTGGCTCCTCCACACACTCTGCTGCTCGCCCAGGGGTCGGATGGACCCCTGCAGGTGGTATCAGGTGCAGGAGAGCAGAAAGTCTATTAATCAATTCTGTATCATTTGCTCAGATATTGCTGTGGTCTGGGCTTCTGAGGATGTTGCTAGTTACCTAGCTCCCTGCTCCGACACCCACTTTCCACCATCCAATGCTACGAAACTGACGGCTGACAGAGCGGACCTCATCTGTACACCATGGCTTGGTAAAGGCCCTGCCTCCCAGTGCTGCTAGAAGGCAGATCGGAGTAAGAGAAGAGGACTGATGGCATCCTATGCTCCCAAAGTCTTGTATCTGCAGGACATAAGAGGGGGAGGAGGGAGTTGGACTAGCCCCCTTCACCTTGGTGCTGCTGGCAGGAACTGTAGCTACCTAGACTGTCTTTCCTGAAGAATGGTAGGGTCTTCTTAAAGGGCCACTTGCCCTAGGAAATTCTGTGGAAATCTCTAGTTGCTTCTCAACTCTCAGTTCGCTTTAACCTTGTGTTCCAACCCCGCCCCTGCCAAAGACACTTTGATTTAAAAACACTGCCTGATCAACCCCGGTCCTGTACATACATCCCCACCTTAACTCTTCCCCACCACACAGAGGCAGTCATGACAGCAGCTGTGAAATGTTGAAATGCAACTTATGGGAAAGCTGAAATGTGTATGAACCAGTGCAAGAGGGAGCAGATAAGACAGCCCAATTTGCTCTGTCCTGTTATATGGCAGCCAGCAGGCATTAAATTTTAAGGTTTTTCAGGTTAATTACTAATATTAGTAAAAAGAAAATACCCAAGCATTATTTTTATATACATTTAGACCAGGGGTAGGCAACCTATGGCATGCGTGCTGAAGGCGGCATGTGAGCTGATTTTCAGTGGCACTCACGCTGCCCGGGTCCTGGCCACCGGTCCGGGGGATTCTGCATTCTAATTTAATTTTAAATGAAGCTTCTTAAACATTTTTAAAACCTTATTTACTTTACATACAACAATAGTTTAGTTATATATTATAGACTTATAGAAAGAGACCTTCTAAAAACGTTAAAATGTATTACTGGCACGCAAAACCTTAAATTAGAGTGAATAAATGAAGACTTGGCACACCACTTCTGAAAGGTTGCTGACCCCTGATTTAGACGATAGTGAATTTTTCCTTCAATACTTGGGCAAATGTTAAAAATGCAAAAAATGAAAACTAAGTTACCTCATTGGATACATCCACAACCAAGTTATCGTCACTCTTGTCCCCATCGCTGTCCTAGAAAAAAATTGTTTATTCCATTTAATACACTTGAAAAGCATGGGAAAAGACTAAGCATCTGCTGTAATCACAACCTGAATATTCAAACATCACTGTCCTACCCGAATTAGACAGACAGAAAGAGGAGAGCCACACCATTAGCAGCAGAGAGCCCTTCGCCACTTTTATAAATGATAGGGAAAATATACAAATTTGATGAAAATAGGAGCACAGCTTTTTTGCCTTTTAGCTTTACATTAGATTTGTGATAGTTGAAAGAATATTTGTATTTAACTATAAAATATAAATGATGTATGGCTAGTCCAGTGACTGTTTACACTCTGAGGAAAAAAGACATCCTTAACTGCTCTCATTGTTAACCTGTATATTTCAGTCCTATCAACTGTAAAAGGAGAGTTGCAGAATTAGTTACAGTTTGCACAGTGCTTTGAACGTGAAAAGCACAATGACGAGGATTTTGAAAGAAATTTCCTATGTGTACTACTTGTTTCAGAAGATTCTCTTAAATCCAAGGTAATTTTCCTGGGTAAGTCCAGAGTCCAGTTTGAGACCATCCCAATTTCCATTTTAAAACTTCATATCATCAAAAGTTTTGAGCAGAAATTAAATGGAAAGATCTTGAATTTACTGTCCTATTTCCAATCCCACAATTCTCTTTAGCCAACTTATTTCTGCTTTCTAGACACAAATGCCTCCTTGTCATTAAAACTGCTGCTTTTAGGAAAGCAGGAAAACAGCAACCATGTGAGTGCAACTGGAAATCTAGTAAATCTTTAAATATTAAGCCTGTTCCAAGTGGAATTATTTTAAACTTTGTTTTAAGAATTAAGTATTTATCTTATCTACTTATAATCCAATTCCATTCCTACTGCTTCTACCAAAAAGAGAAGTTGTCTTATTTTCCATAAAATCAACAGTTTCACATTGTATATGATTCCCAAGGAAACAGACAATGGTTTAAGCATGCTCTCCTTTGAATAAATGAGGTTATTAATACTCCCAAAACTGCTAGCATCTGGACACTAGTGAGTTGAAAGATTTTAGTACGTAGGAAAGTTTGTCAAAAGTTCCCAGCATTGATACAAGATGGTGGAAGAAATCACAGATTTTGGTTTCAAAGGGTACGTCTACACTTACCTCCGGATCCGACGGCAGGCAATCGATGTTCTGGGATTGATTTATCACGTCTGGTTTAGACGCGATAAATCGATCCCGGAAGTGCTCGCTGTCGACGCCGGTACTCCAGCTCGGCGAGAGGAGTACGTGGCATCGACGGGGGAGCCTCCCTGCCGCGTCTGGACCCGCGGTAAGTTCGGACTAAGGTACTTCGAATTCAGCTACGTTACTAACGTAGCTGAATTTGCGTACCTTAGTCCAAAGTGGGGGGTTAGTGGGGACCAGGCCAAAGATGCAGTGGTAATACAGGGCTAGGTTAACAGGAGAGGGAAGGTGCCCCGATCTGCTTACAGTTGCTCTGATGCAAACCCAAAATCAAAGAGACTACAAGGGTGTCACTGAGAATAGAACTGAACCTATTGTGAGCAACACAAGCAACAAGGTGAAAACCTGGGATCAAGTGAAGGAGATAAATCATACCCACAGATGTTGAGAATTACAATAGAATTTAATTTTCCTGGATCTGAGTGACCAGCAATGCAGCTAGTGCCTGAAGCCACAGACCCAGTGCACTCTTGCCACTGTACTATTGTGTCACAATTGCACTTTTAACAAAAATAAATCAGTACTCCCCTCTGTTTCTTTGTGTGACTAACATCTCCAATCCCTCTCCAATTACTATTATTTCTATTTAATTTACATTAAATTCTGCTCCTCCCATGCTTATCTACCATAATCTTGGAAGAAGGTTTAGGGGAGAAATGCTGAGCCATTGCAGCCAGTGCATATGATCCACGACTCTTTCTGCTGTTGGTTCTTTGGAACTTCAGGGGCAAGTAAAGCTGGTCAAAAGACAACACACAAGTTGTGGAAACATTTTACTGGTGGGGTTTTTTTTTTTTGCATTGCTTTTCATAGAAATTTTGTAATTTCAACCAGCATAAGTAGTAGGTAGCTTTGTTAGGTTACATGGCAAGCAGAAACCAGTGGCCGTGTGTTTCAGAGACTATACAGACTCAAGTTTGTGGGGCTTGTAGCTAAAAATAGCTGTGTAGACATTTGGGTTTGGGCTCCGAAGTTAAGGAGGGGGATGGATTTCCTTGTAGATGTACCTTCACGGACCCTGAGGCACATTCAAGCTACAATGGTGGCTACAATTACAATTTGCAGAAGGGGAGGAAACAGAGGTAAACAACTTGCTTCTGAATCCTAAAGGCAGGCACTGCTGGTTCCCTAAAACCCAATGACAGTAATAATCTTGGGACTAGGCTAAACTATTCAGTCATTACACTATATAGCATGAATGAATATGAAGAACATCAATAAGTGTGGCAACAACCATACAAAACCTGAAATACAGCTTTTAACAAGGGTGTTTTTTTTAATCGGGTTTTTTAAATTTAAATCAGTTTTTATTTTTGTTTTTAATAAACCTATTTACAATTAAAATTGGAACTATGACAACCTATGGTGAGGCTTAAACTTATTATAATGTATTAAAATAATTTAATTTAAATGCAAAAATAATATTAAGCTGTACATATTTGAAAGTGCAGAGAGAATATTTTCTTCATTTCAGTTTATTCAACTATTTCAGTTCAGTGAGTAGTTCATTCAAAGTTAAGTAACTAATGGCAGTTGAAAATGCAGGAAAGCTTGTTTTCCTCTTCCAATCTATGAATGAAAACTAGGTTTGAGACTATGAGATCTACTAGTTCTAAAATCTTAAGGACATGGTAACCAGAAACAATCAGATTTACCAACTACAGATAACGCTTCCTTTGTTTAATAAATCAGATAGTTTTAAATGCAAAACATTTTGATATACCTTTTGATAAACTTCTATATTATGTATGCAGTATATTTAAGATAGTTTAATTAAAAATTAGTATCCCATTTTTTGTGCTCTTTTAATTGAAATTCCATCAAAATAGAGCTTGACATAAATCTTATGTTAAAATTAATCATTTAATAAATAAGAAAAGGACAGTTACCTGTTCCGTAACTGGCGTTCTTCGAGACGTGTTGCTCCTGTCTATTCCACAGTAGGTATGCGTGCTCGCCACGTGCACCAGTGCCAGAAGTTTTTCCTTTAGCAGTACCCGTACTGGGGGAGCACCGCAGCAACCCCTGGAGTGGCGCCTGCATATCGCGCTGTAAGGGGAGCCACAGGCTCTCCCCACCCTCAGAGTTGTCTTGCCGGACAGAGAGGAAGGAGGGCGGGATGTGGAATAGACAGGAACAACACACCTTGAAGAAGGCCAGTTGAGGAACAGGTAACTGTCCTTTCTTCTTCGAGTGATTGCTCCTGTGTACTCCACAGTAGGTGATTCCAAGCAGTATCTGTTGGAGGTGGTAGGAGTTCACAATGGTTCGGGACGAAGTACCGCCCTGCCGAACCCGGCGTCGTTCCTAGACTGGGAAGTAAACGTGTGAACTGAAGCCACGTGGCCGCCCTACACATGTCCTGAATGGGCGGCATAGACAGCTGATGAGGTCTGAGCCCTCGTAGAGTGGGCCTTAATGACAGGAGGCGGGGGAATCCCTGCCAGGTCATAACACGTATGCACGTGGTAATCCAGCGGGAGAGGCGCTGGGTAGAGACAGGTTGCCCTCTCGTCCGCTCAGCCGAGGCAATAAAGAGTTGAGAGTATCTCCGGAACGGATTAGTTCTATCCAGGTAAAAGGCCAATGCCCTACGCACATTGAGCGTGTGGAGGCGGCATTCCTCGCTAAAGGAGTGGGGTTTAGGGCAGAGCACGGGGAGAAAGATGCTCTGCTCCATGTGGAAGGTGGAAACCACCTTCGGGAGGAACGCCGGGTGTGGGCGAAGTTGGACCTTATCCCTATGGAAAATCATATGGGGGTGTTCTGAGGTTAAGGCCCTGAGCTCCGAGACACGTCGGGCAAACATGATTGCCACGAGGAAGGCCACCTTCCACGAGAGGTGTGACCAGGAACACGTGGCCAGTGGTTCGAAGGGGGGAGCTGTGAGACCTGACAAGACCACGTTGAGGTCCCATTGTGGCACGGGGGGCCTAGCGTACGGAACAAATGGTCGAGGCCCTTCAGAAAGCGGGAGGTCAGAGGGTGGGAGAAGACCGAGTGTCCCTGCACCGGCAGGTGAAAAGCCAATATGGCTGCGAGATGCACCCTGACTGAGGTTGGTGCCAGTCAGGGTGCACCTCCTAAGGGATAAAAGGTAGTCTAAGATGAACTGGAGTGGTGCAGTGGAGGGGGAAACTCCCCGCTCGCTCGCCCACCTGGCAAACCTGGATCACTTCGCCACATACGTCCGACGCATGGACAGCTTCCTGCTTTCCAGGAGGACTCTCCTTACCTGCTCCGAACACATGTTCTCCTCCTCGTTTAGCCAGAGTAGCCACGCTGTCAGGTGGAGCGTGGCCAGATTGGGATGGAGGAGGCGTCACCCATCTTGGGAGAGGAAGCCCAGGTGGAGCGGTAGCGCCCTCGGGGGGGGGCCGCCAAGAGGCGTAGGAGGGGCCCGCACCAGTGCTGGCAGGGCCACACCGGGGCTATAAGCAGGTCCTACCTCGCCTTGTCCACTTTCACCTTCTGAAGGACCTTGGCGATGAGGAGGAATGGGGGGGGAGGAGGCATAGAGGAGCTGGCCAGACCAGCTCAGGAGGAACGCGTCTGGAAAAGAATTGTGAGCAATGCAGGTTCTGGCAGGTTGCAAACAGGTCGATCTGGGGACCCCACTCTAGGAAGATTTGGTGGGCGACCGCCAAGTGGAGTGACCACTCATACTGGGGGGAGAAGACCCTGCTGAGGTGATCCGCTTGCATACTGCGGATGCCTGGGAGGTGAGCCACTCTCAGCCGCTATACAGAACTCCCAGAAGGCCAGGGCTTCCCGGCAGAGGGCTAGGGAACGAGTCCCGCCTTTCTTGTTGATATAGTACATGACGGCGGTGTTGTCCATGAGGACTCTGACCACCCTGCCACGGAGGTGCGTGAGAAAAGCCACGCATGCCAGACTTATCGCCCCAAGTTCCTTGACATTTATGTGCAGGGACAAGTCCGGGGTCGACCTCGTACCCTGGGTCTGTACGTCTCCCATGTGAGCTCCCCAGCCCAGGTCCGAAGCATCGGACATCAGATCTATGGATGGGTTGGCCTACCTGAAGGGAACCCCTTGCAGCATACTGCTCGGGAGGGACCACCATTGAAGGGAAGTCAATACCGGGGACGGGATTGTGAGGACCTTGTCCAGGCCATCCCGGGCCTGGGAGAATTGGGAGGCTAACCAGAGTTGGAGGGGCCTCATCCGGAGTCTGACATGGCGGACCATGTACGTGCAAGCCACCATGTGCCCCAGGAGCCGAAGGCACGACCTGGCTGTGGTCACCAGGAACGAGGAGATCGAGGCAATGAGGTCCCTTAGGGTCTTGAACCTGTCCAGGGGAAGAGAGGCCATGGCCTTGGAGGAGTCCAGGAGAGCGCCAATGAACTCTATGCGCTGGACGGGCACTAGAGTAGGTTTTGCCTCGTTCATGACTAGACCTAGTTTTTGCATGTGGCCAGGAGTAGCTGCACGTGGGACTCCACCTCTGGACGAGAATCACCCTTGAGGAGCCAGTCGTCCAGGTAGGAGAAGATTTGCACCCCCTTTTTCCTGAGGTATGCTGCCACCACTGCCATACATTTCGTGAAAACCTTGAGGGCTGTGGATAGGCCAAAGGGAAGGACTGTAAACTGGTAGTGCCCCATCCCCACCACGATTCTGAGGAAGTGTCTGTGCCCCTCGAAAATGTGGACATGAAAGTAAGCGTCCTGGAGGTCCAGGGCCACGTACCAGTCTCCCGTGTCTAGGGTGGGGATAATAGAAGTTAGGGACACCATGAGGAACTTAGAATGGGTTAGGAACCTGTTCAGGTAGCGCAGGTCCAGGATGGGTCTGAGACCCCCTTTCGCCTTGGGGATCAGGAAGTATCGGGAGTAAAAACCATTGCCCTGGAACGCGTTCCACCGCACCGAGGCTGAGCAGCCGATCCACCTCCTGATCCAGGATGCAGACCTGCTCAGGATCTCCCAGGGCCACATTGGGGGACGGGTGGCCTGGCAGGGTGGGGGGGTGGGAGGGGAAGTGAACTGCAAAACATATCCCTCAGCAATAGTGCTGAGGACCCACTGGTGCGACGTTATGCGGGACCATGCCCTGAGGAAGGCAGACAATTGGTTGCAGAACACAAACTTTATTGGTCGGGGGGGGGGGGAGGGGGGTCTCCCTGGCAACAGGCCCAGTGCCCCCCCCTGTAAATAGTCAAAACCTCCTCTTTCCCTGCCTCTTGCCCTTAGGGGGACCAGGCTGCTAGGCAGAGTGGGACTGACTCTGACCGGCGTTTCTGGTCTCGAGACCTTCTGTATGGGGGCTCATATCTGCCCCTAGTCAGTTGAGCCGCCGGGAGTGATTTGGCCTTGTCCTTTGTCGGAGGGACGTAGAGACCCAGGGTCTGCAGGGTGGTACGGGAGTCTTTCATCCCATGCAGCCTGACATCTATTTGGTCCGCAAAGAGCGCCTTGCCATCGAACGGGAAGTCCTGCATCAGGGATGGGGCCTCCGTCGATAGACCCAATAATAGGAGCCATGATGCCCGGCGCATGGAACTTGCAGATGCCATGGAGCGAGCCGCTGTGTCAGGCGCATCCGCCACCGCATGTAGGGCTGCTTTAGCCGCCGCCGACCCCTCTCCCACAAGAGCCTTGAAGTCCTTCCTATCCCGGTCCGAGAGAAGGGGCTCGAACTTAGGCAAAAAGCCTCCCACAGGTTAAAGTCATACCTGCTGAGTAAGGCCTGGTGGTTGGCTACTCTCAGCTGAAAACTAGCTGACAAATAAATCCTTCTGCCAAAGGAATCGAGTCTCTTGGCATCTTTGTTCTTAAGGGTGGGCGCGGATTGGCCTTGGCGCTCTCTGTGGTTCACTGACTCAACCACGAGCGAGATAGGTGCCGGGTGGGAGTAAAGGTATTCATGACCCTTCGCCGGCACAAAATACTTCCTTTCAGCCTTCTTGGAGATAGGGGCCAAGGAGGTGGGAGCTTGCCACAAGGAACTGGTGATATTGGCAACACCTTGGTGTAATGGCAGGGCCACGCGGCCCGGTGCTGAGGGAGATAGAATGTTTAAGAGGAAATCAGTGGGAGCTGGAGCACAAACGACGACGTCTGTCACGTCAAGATCGGCTCCGGTACCCACGCCTGACCGGGGAGCGTTCCCTGCGCTGCTCTCAGTGCCTGCGCTCGCTGGCGGGCAGCGTAGAGGGGGCCCGTGATTCCTGTCTCAACAACGGGTCGGAGGGTCCGGCCGCTGTGTACAGTGGCTGGGAGTCCCCTGAAGAGCGGTTGCTGCGTGTCAAGCAGTGCGGGGAGTGATCCCTTGAGCGAGAGCTGCGGCTCGCCGAAGAGGTCTCACGGGCACCTAATGGGGGCTTGCCTCGAGACCTGGGCCCATACGCGGTTGTGAGCTCGGCACAAGCAAAGACATAATGTCCTTTGCAGCCTGCACCACCTCCGGCGTCGATGGCACCGGGCTGCACCGCTCTACACAAGTCGGAGTTCTTAAGCCCGGGGGGCGGGCGAGAGCTGCCCAGCGCGGGACCAGCCTCCCCCTTGTCCTTATCGCGGCGTCGCTGTGAGGCCGGGCCCTTCCCTTGCTTCCTGGAGGGAGAGCGGCGCCGAGTGGTCGAAGGGGCCTCGCTACGTACCGACGACGCAGCAGCGGGTGCCGAGTGCGATCTGCGCACCGGCGTCAGTGTTATCGCCGACTCCATTAGGAGAGATCGAAGTCTGAAGTCCCTCTCCTTTTTAGTTCTTGGTTTGAACGACCTACAGATTTTGCAGCGGTCGCTAATATGAGTCTCACCCAGGCAGTGAAGACACTCAGCATGAGGGTCACTCCTGGGCATAGAGTGACGACAGGAGTCTCACAACTTGAAGCCTGGGGCGCGGGGCATGCCCCGAGCCCAAGCTAACACTGAAAACGATCCGACGAATGGTACCACTAGGGAAGAAAGGCTGCAGCAGAGCTGGAGCGCAAAGTTCCGACCACCTTCACTAGCGGCAAGAAGGAACTGAGGGTGGGGGGAGCCCGTGGCTCCCCTTATAGCGCGATATGCAGACACCACTCCAGGGGTCGCTGCAGTGCTCCCCCAGTATGGGTACTGCTAAGGGAAAAACTTCCGGCACCGGTGCACGTGGCGAGCACGCACACCTACTGTGGAATACACAGGAGCAATCACCCGAAGAATGCACCATTCACATTTTCTAACATAAAAAATTAAAAATAAAGAAAAATTAAGAATCCAAATAAATGTAAATTATTCTATATAACTACTTAAAATAAAAGTGGTGTATCCTCCTGATTAGCAAAATAAACACCAAATTTAATGTGAAGCTATATTTAGTCGCAAATCAACCTGAGAACTAACCTTCTTTAGTATACTAAAAAGTATAAATACAAAACCAGATTATAATAGATTATTTAAATGAGGTTGCCTGTTTGCTAATTTAAATAATTATTAAAATGGATGATTTAAATAACTTTGATTTAAATCAATCTGCCCTGCTTTTAGCAGCTATTTCACTGCTCACACACAAAACATCTGCAAATAAATGATTAATTTATTTGAAACAGATTTGCTTACATAGTGGCTGGAATCCTTATCATCCACCTTTCGTTTTTTCATGTCATTGGAATATTCAGGACCATTCCTGCGTTTATCCGTGTTTCGCAGGCTGTCCGGTACCAACAGAGAATTACTCTGTAAAGACAAAAAACAAGTCAATCAAAAATTCCTTCCTGAATTCCTTCATATACACCTGAAAACTAAAACTAGATGCAATAGATATTTTAGAAATGTAATACCTTCTCAATCTCTCATTCGATTTAATTCAACTCATCAAAGTCTTCAAAGGCAAATTATAATTATAGGGATTCATGCATTTTACATTTTGCTTATTCTTTGCTTAATCTTTGCATAAATCAACCTATCAGAAATTTAGTTCACTCGTCAGCAACTATTTGTGAGGTTATCAATTTAACTAACCTCATTGTTTATTCGCGAACATACAGTATTTTATATGTATTCACATACACACACACACATACAATGGCATTTATACATTATAATTGTAAATTTAAAGTTATTATCTAAGGATGGATTACTCATTTTTACAATGTCAAAAGCAAATAAAGCTTGGAGGATCTGCCCATTGCATGTACCATTATGAACACTACCTCTTAAAACAATAACTATTAAGTAAGTGTTAGCTACAGAGTAAGATTACCCAGTGCTCATTTATTTATTAGCTGTGATAGTAACCTCAAAAGGATCCCCTCAAATTTACTGCAAACAGAAAGATTAAATATTTTCACTGCCAACATAAAATTCACCATTAGTGTGAAATTAAAGCTATCACATTGTTTAATCAGTCTTGGACTTAAAAACTGAGGCCAATACACACACAAAAGACAAGAGCAAAGACTAATCTTTTCTACAAATGACACAGGCTACTTTCATTCAGTTATGAAAAGTACAAACTGTTGACCCAAAGAAAAAAAAGGCATTTTAAATATTTTTGGGTCACATGACACAATTTGACATGCCTCTGATTCCCATCTCCCCTCCAGCTAAAGCATTAAAACATGTTACAATGAGTTCTTTTAAGAACAGAATTAGCATATGCAAGAGGGCAATTTGTTCAGTGATGTGTTAATGCCATGAACAATGCTGAATGAGTTGTGCAAAAAACTCCTATCAAAAAGACCTGATAAGCCTGGTTTCTAAAAGCCATCTAAAAAAAGATTATCACAAGAAGGAAGCATGGTGCCAATATATATTTACATACTTAAAGGAAAACTTACTTTAGGCCAAATCAGATATAGTGGTGAGTCCAGAAGAAAATATTTGTGTATAATTAAAAGCCAGATATTTACTCTTAAAATATCATAAACATAACCTAATAGTCAGTTTGCTACTCATTGAATGACTCCGCATTTGAAACCAAAGCTTTGCAGTGCTCAAACATTAATGCTCAACCACATAGAGGAAGAAAACAAAACAGGGTACACAAGACAATTTGAATCCTCTTTTGCCTACTTCAGAGGCTATACTTTAAAGCTTGCTCTAAGCTCTTTTATTCATGACTATTCAAGCTACACAAATGCCAGAGGGCTTTACACAAAGCATATGGGAGGGTCCAATGAAATTCAGTATAAAGAAGCTCACAGTAATGTCTTTACCACAATGTTTTGTGGCTAAAAGGTGGGCTTGTTGGATGACTGAACTAATTACCTTGATAAGTATAGGCGGAATTTAACCTAGCTTCTCCTTCAAATACACACACAAGAGAATAAGGAAGCCAATGTTTCGGAAGCAATATATATTAAAATCCAATTCTGATGAAAAGTGGATTTGTATTTTAAAATGAACACCCAATGTCTGCAATAGAAGATACAGCTTAAAGAGACACAGTCAACTCAAATTTGACCACAAATTAAAAAGTTGGGGGGGGGGAGGGGAAGAGCCTGCTTTTGCTAAACCCAAGACCAACAGAAATAGTTCTTTTTAAAAAAATGCTAAGAAATAATTTAAGCACACAAATATTGCAGGATTGAAAAGCTGAAAGGGAAACTAATAATAAAATGCAAAACTGACTTCATTTGTTTTCATTGTCCAAACTCTCTCAGAAAATAACTGCAAAAAGGCAAAGAGCAATTTGTATTTTTAAGACCTGGATCCTGCAAATTATTCCATGTGGGTGTAGATTCCACTCATGCAAGCAGCTTGCAAGATCTGTGCCTAAAATATGTTGAGAGTAATTTCAAGTATTAACAGAGATAAGAAATAGGTTTTATTTTATTTTTAAATTTAGTGTCCCTTTAATGCATAGTTCCTGCACATATGATTGTACCCTATGTTTACACGCACATGTCTATACCAAACAATGCGGACACACATCTGTGCAATTCAGTATTCTAAAAAACGATAAAGAAAAACTTAGTTATCAGTCCAAAAAGTATACATGGCATTATATAAACCCCAAAAGCATACTCATGCACACATACAAGCAGTTCCTAGGATATGTATTTAATTACTAGTTTACAGAATAATAATTAAGGGGCAAGGATCCACAGTTTCTGGGATGTAACTTCCCCATCCCAATAACCACTAGTAGTCCTTATCCATTTTTTTTGTACCTGTGCCCCAATGGATACGCAGAGGTTACATCAACTTATCTAGCTCAGTGGATCTCAACCTATTTAACATCGTGGGCTGCACATGCAGCTCTCCGTGCGTGATGTAGGCTGCAACCACACAATATATATACTACTTGTATGGCACTGAGGATGTCACATGGCCACACATCGGTGCTGACTGGGCCGCAAGTGGCCCCAGGCTGTAGGTTCAGAACCACTGATCTAGATATTTGTCTAGTTTTACAACAGACTAAATAAGAAGCACTAGTGAAGTCAATACAAACAAAAAATTCATACACACAATAACTTGTTTATCCTGCTCTATATACTATACAATGAAATGTAAGGACAATATTTATATTCCAATTGATTTATATTTATATGGTAAAAAGAAAGTAAGCAATTTTTCAGTAATAATTTGTATTTTTATGTCTCATTTTGTAAGCAAGTAGTTTTTAAGTGAAGTGAAACCTGGGGTACGCAAGACAAATCAAACTCATGAAAGGGGTACAGTAGTCTGGAAAGGTTGAGGACCACTGCTCTGGGGCATTAACAATACAGCAAAACGTACCCCATTTATAAAGTGTTAATATCACCATTTTTAACTGTCACTTCAAATGCTACCTTGCCTTCTTTATCTCAGCTATGCGCGACTTCCAACATATTTTTAAAAGCTAACCGTTTTGACTGGATATAGTTTGGGGTGTAGCAGACAAGATAATTATTTTAAAAGGTCTTGGAAAAAATAACTTATCTTATTGGGTATTAAATGCAGACTTGATCCATTGCAAATATCCCCACTTACTTTGGATCAGGCCTTAAATGCAGAAACTGTTTTCACCAAAATTTCTACAGGGGGTAAAGGAGTGTGGGAAGAGAGAGAGTCATTTGAAATTTGTGTGTGTGTGTAAATGGGGAGGGGCAAGGCCTGTTAGAGCTACCCCCAATACAGTTTCATTACCCTGCAGGGTCACAGTGGGGATGATTAATGGGTAGCAAGGACGTGAAAGACTAAACTTATTGGCAATCTTTTTCAAGGTTATTCTTAAATAAAAATTAAAAACAAAACAAAACAAAAAACGTTTTGCCACACCGACTTGCGACATCAGGAAATCTACTCATGATTTTTCAGCCCCTTCCATCCCTCTCCAGTTTTCCAGACTGAGGAAAAAGGGAAAAGTGACTGAAATGGCTATTCCTCAATAGTTCCTCAAATGGAAACTCTTAACCCAGAACGAGAGAGAGTCTCTTCACCCAGGTCTACACTATAAACTTACATCAGTATAACTACGTCACTTAGGAATGTGAAAAATCCAGATCCCCTAACCGACATATTAAACAACCTAACCCCTGTGTAGACAGCAGCATGTGGAGATGAAGTACCTACACTGAAAGGAGAAGCCCTCCCGTTGGCATAAGTAGTGCCTTCACTTCATGCTGCCACAACATTTAAGTGCAGACCAGCCCTTATTCTGGAATAAAAATATCCATGAGAAGCTACTGCAATAGGTATTCCAGTAATTTCCCTGACAAGCGCTGAAGCCTATGATGTAGGAATGTGAGCAGGATCAATTAACATGACATGTCCAACATCCTAGAGTTTGAGATCTTGGATGGTTTGGGTGTTCATTCACAGATTACGCCAACACTGTTCTGGGTTGCATAAAATCATAGTAGACAATAAAGGGATTTATTTTAAAAATTAGATTTTGCTAACTATTCAAAAAAAATAGTTACATTAACAGCAGTCCTGAAAACAATCAATTTAGACTGGGTAAATGCAATGATTAGTCTGGGCAAGAAATGAAAATAGTACATTAAAATATTTAAAGGGTTAAGAGCAAGCTTCAAAACTTCTACCACAATTGAAAGTATTTTTTTATGTATGTATGCTTGCTATTGCAAACTACTCCTTCTGACTGTCAGTTGTATGGAATTTCATCAGATGGTATGAAAGGGTCTCCATTTTCCACTCATGTTACTAGCACTTTATGAAATACTGAAATGACACAAATGACAGTAAACAAAAAACTGGGACACAGATGACAATATAAAATGTTTTTACCCAGGGCTCAGCGTGCCTCCTGCCAACAGAAGTGACTTGAGGGTTCAGAGAACAGTTACCAATTAGAACAGCAAACTGAGAAGATTCTCCCATTATGTCAGGTCAAGTACTGTCTGTATTTCCCACATGATTAGTGCCCCAAATGGCATAATATAGGACTGATAGCATTAAAGAGCAGCAGCTTCACAACACCCTCATGCAGCTGATATTTCTATAGAGATCTAATCAGTTCTTGTCTCTCTTTTATGGCTAATTTAAATACAACAAATGAAATAAAAAAGGTAGCCTTACCATTCTACAAATGACTAATTTTGAAATGTTAGAATTACTGTTTTCCCTATAGAAATAATACAGATTTTATAGATAATGGTAGACTTTTCATTTTGGATTGAAATCTACACTGTTAACTGATTTGTGTCAAAAAATATCTGGTTGACTCACTAAGAAGAAAAACAGCATGACACCAATTTTTGTTTTGTCTTAATTTCAGACTAGAC